AAGCAACAGTGAGAACTGGACACGGAACCACTGATTGGTTCAAAATTGGAAAAGGAGTCCGGCAAGGCTGTATACTGTCGCCCTGCCTATTTAACTTATATGCAGAGCACATCATGAGAAAGGCAGAGCTAGATGAATCAAAAGTTGGAATTAAGATTGCCGGGAGAAATATCAACAACCTAAGATATGCAGATGATACCACTCTAATGGCAGAAAGTGAAGAAGAACTAAAGAGCCTCTTGATGCGGGTGAAGAAGGAGAGTGCAAAAGTTGGCTTGAAACTCAACATTAAGAAAACCAAAATCATGGCATCCGGCCCTCTCAATTCCTGGCAAATAGATGGGGAAGAAATGGAGGTAGTGACAGATTTTATTTTTCTGGGCTCCAAGATCACCTCAGATGGGGACTGCAGCCAAGAAATTAAAAGACGCTTGCTCCTGGGGAGGAAAGCTATGGCAAATCTAGACAGCATACTAAAAAGCAGAGACATCACCCTGCCAACAAAAGTGCGTATAGTCCAGGCCATGGTTTTCCCAGTTGCAATGTATGGCTGTGAAAGTTGGACCATAAGAAAGGCTGAGCGCAAAAGAATGGAGGCCTTTGAATTATGGTGCTGGAGAAGACTCCTGCGAGTCCCTTGGACTGCAAGGCATTCAAACCGGTCAGTCCTAGAAGAGATCAGGATCTGCTCTTTAGAAGGCCAGATCCTGAAGTTGAAACTCAAATACTTTGGCCACCTAATGAGAAGGAAGGACTCACTGGAGAAGGGCCTAATGCTGGGAAAGATTGAGGACAATAGAAGAAGGGGAGAATGAGAATGACAGAGAATGAGATGGCTGGATGGAGTCACTGAAGCAGAAGGTGTGAACTTAAATGGACTCCAGAAGATGGTTGAGGACAGGAAGACCTGGAGGAATGTTGTCCATGGGGTCGCGATGGGTTGGACACGACTTCGCAATTAACAACAACAAAGTGACCTATGCTACAATTGTCTATTAGTTTCCACTCTTTCATTAGTAGCAAAGCTGTTGCATAACTAAACAGAATTTTTGAATAATAAAATACTGTGGCTTTAGCCTAGTATTACCTCCTAAAACTGAGATGAAAAATATATGTCTCAATGCTGTTCAAGTATAACTTGTAAAAACAAACTTGTTGAACCTAATAGGAAGTGGGAGAGCATAAAAATTCCAAGACTTCAATCAAGATTTGTAGTTTGCTGCTCAATCTGAAATGTGTTGAAAATATAAATGTCTGAAAAAACTCATATCATAAAATTTCTCCCTTTAAATGATGTAGCACAGGGAACATATGTGTAGAAAAACCATTATCATTATGATGACATTAAAAATATTTAAATTAAAATTCTGGTGACTAATACATGGGGAACTAAACTTGTTTGTTTGGCCTGATTTTTTTTTCTCTTAAGGCATATTTCTTTGTTCTTTTATTCTAGCTTATTATAGTGTGTAAAGTGCCCAAAATTGCTGAGAGTCAGGCATTTTTCAAAAATCTTCTTCTGTCTTTCACCCCCCCCCCTCATGTTTCTCATCTGTCTGTGTGTGTTTCTGTGTATTCCATTTCTTCATCTATCCTCCAAGAGTTCTCTTGTTTAACCCAGATTAAGACCAGAAAAATAAAAGCACCTAAACCTGGGCAGGATTGATATACTCCAGTTCACTCAATCAAACAATGATAATCCTTGAAAACTAGGAAATGCACCTTCTGTATTTTGGATACTACCCTTTCAAACAGTATCACCCTGGAGATCTGCATAGCTTCCCCCTGGAATTGCTCCAAAAAATCTTTGAAAGCTTGCCTTTATTTTCATACTTGTGATTAGGGTGGTTGTTGATCCACAAAATGTTCCTTTTCAGTGATAGCCCTGCCTTTCAGAATGGCATCCCCCAATAAACGATGCTGCTTCCATCTTACTGACTTATAAGCTTACTATCTTTATTCACAAGCCATGGGAAGTGTGTGGAGGGGTCAATTCCCTTTGGCATTTAATATATTTCAGATATTTTTCTGTATTCTAGAGTCAGTCTTCCCATTTTTGAATTCCTTTTCTTTGATGCATATCTGCATGTATCAAAAAAACAACAGTGTCAACCTACAGGGAGTGACCAAGGAACTGAAAACCTTCCCATTTTAACATGCATCGCACAGACCACATGCTTTGATTACTTGTTCATACCCACTATTATGATATAATAGATGTCTCTGTTTGGAAACATATTCACTTCATATACAGATAAGCTGTACAGTGGTTGTCAATGTACATCTTTTGTAGAATAGATGTGACTGTTTATTATTTTTATGGTTCATCACACAGTCAGCCAGATGTTCAGACTGTATTTGGCATTTTTATCCACATAAAATGAGTCCTTTCCAATTACCTTGAGTCCTTCCCAAGTATCTGAAATAGACAGATGTTGTTATTTGATGGTGTTATTGTGGCAGTATAAAAGCTGTTGGAAGTAAAGCTGCATTTTGCAATTGATTGATGCAAATGGTGTTTTAATGACTGGACTTGTCCAGGTGTAAATCCATATTTCTGTCCCTGAGTTTTGACCTTAAGTTCTTCATTCTTTTTTCTATCTATTATTAACCTTTTTTTCAGATTTAAGAGTGTTTGAGGCTGTCAGCCTGAAGAATGCCCAGGTATTTGAAGTTATTATTTTCCCCCAGACTGTTGATGTTATTTCCATAGGACATCTTGATTTCTTTAGTTTTCATTATTTTTTCCCCTGTTGATAGTAAGGATGTCAAATTTATCCAGTATGTATTCAAGCAATATATTCAGACAGTGTTGATCAGCAATTCTACTTTACATGTAAAGAAGGAGAGATAGCTGGTCAGATGTTTTTGATAGCATTGGCTTTACTTATTCAGTATTGTTGACAGAGGAATCAATTCAGTGACAAACAATAGTGATGAAAGTGAGTATCCTTGAAAGATTCCTTTCTTGATGTTAACCTTTCCAAGTCCATCACCATTACCAACAACTGTGACTTTCACTGTGCCATTGATCCTTGCACAAAGCTTCTGATGTTTATATTGACTCTTGTTATTTCCGGGCACTTTATTATCCAGTCATATATCAGGGAGTCAAATGCCTTCTTGTAATCAATTTAAATTATAGTGAAGTTGGTCTTCCTTCCCTTACAATTTTTCAAATTTATTTTGTCAGTTAAGCTGCCCCTCTGTTGTTTGGGTAGTGTCCTTTCTGCTCAGGTGGAGAGAGATTTTTCAACACCTTTTATAGTTGAACTGCATCAGCTTCCATATGGTTAGTAATTTGAAAGTTGTTGGTAAGCAGGTAATTGTCCTGCAGTTTCCTGGTGCTGCCACTTTTGTTGGATCTTTCATTATCAGACAGCTTTTGCCAGATGATAATCAGTCTTCAAATTCACCTCCTTTTAGTATGTTGCTAAACTGTTTGGCAATTAGTAGATGTACACCAGTCAAATATTTCAATCAAAAATCACACAATTCACCTTCAACTAATGCTTACCAATTCTTGATATTCCTTGCTCTTTTCTTCACCATTTCTGTTAATACAAGTTCTTTCTTTTCAGCTTATTTTATTATTATTTTTCTTTGTTAAATTTATTTGCTACCTACAACAATAGGTAGCTTACAACAATAAAAAAGAAGAAATGAAAAGAGAATGAAAAACCAAATAAAATAATAGAATGATAAAATAAACAATGAAAAAGAAAACAAAAAGGATAGATCAATATGGTAATTAAAAAATGGATGGGTGGAGAGCAGAGAGTGAGGGGGGAGAGGGAGTCTGCCATCAAGTCAGTAACCGTCTCCAACATGGAATTCCCCATTTGATCCCCAGCTAACAGGTAGAGACATGTTTGAAGCTCCTGTGGAAGGATAGGAGGGTGGAGCAGATCTTACCTAGAGGGTAAGGTGTTCCAAAGGGTGAATGCTGTGGCAAAGAAGCTACTGCTTACTCCTCCTCCTCCTACAGTCTGAATTATTTTATCAACCTTTGCAGTTCTTCCAGTTCAACTTTTGTGGTTACTTTATTTTGCATTATAAATCAATGTTGATCTGCTAGCCTTTGTTCTGTTATTTCTGATTCCAGGTGTTGTTGTTTCTAGAACTGGCATCTTCTTTCATATATCCTCTTTTCATAATATCAAATCATTATTTCTTTGTTTTCACTCTTTGTATATTTGTGATAAATATTTTTCCCCAGTAATCCAGTAACTGCTATCCATGCAGTTAATAGTCATGAGTACTTTAGCCTACTTGTCACCAGGTATCCAGGAACCCCAACACATAGCACAATTTTTCTTGATCCAGTCAACAACCAATTCATTATAGATTTGTATAAATTGTGCCTCACTATGTTGAAATGGGAGAGACACTCTTCATATATCTCCTATAATGAGATCTCTCCAGTATGGTTGAACCTCTGCATAGCTCTCATCCTTGAGCAGGCAGTTTAACAATCATGTCAAGGTAATGCCTCATTGGGGAGTTAATTATTATTTGCCTTGGAAAATGTAGAAGTGGGCTGAAACTATATCACTTCAGTTTAAAAAAATGTTAAGTTTGGAATATCTGTCTTGGTATGTTATTATGAAGTTATTGTGAAGTGTATATAGAAAAAAATATCAGAATTAAAAATTGGATTTTAAGTATTTGTACTTCACAAATTGAATATGGAAACCAACACCTTCAAGCAGTAATTATAGAACTATTAAAATATTTTATGGTGATTTTTAATATATAGATGATAGATCAAGTAAGATTACTTTTTTTAAAAAAAGTATGTATAAAAGGACACATACATTTCATTTACAGTTTTAAAAATGTTATTACAAAAAACTATTAAGTAGCAATTAATGACAATTATAAATTATGGTGACAATAGAAGAAATAATAGTTAATTTTTTAAAAACTGCAGGAATTCTACTTTCATTATTTCTGAATTTTATTTCTTTATTTAAAGCAACTTCTTTCTTTTCATTCAGATAACTCAGTTTCTTTGAAATGTAAGTTTAAATTGGTAAGTCTGAGTAGCTGCTGAAGGATATGAGAAGGTGGATATGAGGATATGAGAAGAATGTGAGAAGGTGGCCCTCTTACTATCTGATGCCTTGCAGTTTGAATTGGAGACAATTACTACCCATGTCTTTTGGCCCAGGTATGAACCATCGGCATCATGCAACAGCATCAGTCTGGATTGAATAATCACTCCTGATGATATCAGCAGCCCATCCTGATATGTGCAGATCAGTGTGCAGTCAGCAGTTGGGGTGATGATTAGCTTCCTTAATTATTGTTTTGTGGTAACTAAAATTGAGGGTAGATACCTTCATCACCTTTGATACAGGTAACAAAGACTCTTTTAGCAGTTTTTTTTTATCATAACATTGTTCTAAAAATCATTTTAGCCAAGAATAGTCTCTGTTCTGCTCTACTGTTTTTTGTTGTTTCCAAATCCATGCTGTAAAAAGAAAAAGTCTCCATAGCTTGAAGGGGAATATCCTGCAACCCCTCCCTTTCTCCACTGCCTGTTTTTGGCCTCACAAGCCTTTGCTGATTGCTCTGGGAAAGAGAAAAGACAAGAATTTAAACTAGCAGAAAGAGGCGTGAAGGAAACCATTCTTCCATAGATTTGTAGATTAGAATTGGCTGGGTTGAGAGAGAAACACTGTTCTTTGCAAGGAGAGATAGAAAGGCTTTTTTCTCCCCCTTTATGCTGTAGAACTTGAAGCTGAGCAGCTAATGCCAGAGAGAAAACAACAAACAGGTGAGCATTTCTGAAACTATTGCAGCTGAAGCTGGCAAAGAAAAGGTAGTACTTTACACCTTACAGGAAAAAAGTACAGCAGTGGCAGAGCAGCATATTAGGATAGTCCAGTGGCACCATGCCTTCAAATAAGTTCATTACATGATTTGGCATGGGAAGCCAGGAACTGCTCAGTGAGAGAGTTATGAAAATGTCACCTAAGACCATGCTAACAACTGGTTTATTAAATCTAGGCAAATCACTAGTTTCTGGTGCTAACAGAAAAGAGCATCAAAGACTGTTCAACAAGTTCTTATATAGGATTACCAAGACTGAAGATGAACAAATGCATAGATTTGACAATTGAGAACTAACTGTTTTATAATTCATAAAAGTTCTAGATCAGACATGTCAAACTCGCGATGTCACATGATGTCGTGCAACATATTGGGATGGTTTTGCCATTGCCGGCAATGGGGTGGGTACAGCTTCTGGATGATGCGTCTGGCCTGCGGGCCAGCAGTTTGACACTCCTGTTCTAGATGGAGTACAGAGGAATTTCTCTCTGTCCATAAAGAGAACAATTAACAAAGCAGGATATTTAGCCATTAAGAATGTCAATCAAGCTGACTGTTACTTTACTTTGTTACTTGTTACTTTAACAAGTTACTTTACTTTGTTACTTGTTAATTTAACAAGTTAATCCTGTGTCGCATTTTGTTGGGGAGAGTTGTAAATAAACTGTGGTAAATACAGCATATGTGTGCATTACACTCACTGTTCTGACCCCTATATGTGGTATGTGTATTCCTTAGATGAAGTTATGATGTTCAGTGTATGCTTACATTCTGCTAGTAAGTTTTGGATTGTCTCCAAGACCTTTTTGCATAGACTACACCTTGCATCCTATACTTAGTGCCTTTCCTGTGCTGCTATGATAGATGATTCAGTGCTGTTTTTTAGTCCAACCCTTTCCAACCATTAGGAGGTTTTCTCATTGTCACCTACCTCACCTATCTGTGAATGGAACAGCCCATGCAGGCTCTTGTATTGCCATGTCACTTCCTTTGCTTGATCTTCCTCCCATTTCTGTTGATGACTCAGGCTTTCTCTCAGCAACCCATTTTTGGATGTTATCTTACTGATGTACTCATGGATGCTATGGGTTACATCCAGATTAGTGGCTTTGATACCCAACAGACACTACCTTCTTATGGTAGACTTGAGTGTTGGACTTGGGATAGAAACTAATGGATGTTATGAGGAGTTTCCTAGTCTTCAAATTGGCAGCCTTCATATCTCCTTTGGCCAATACACTGTTCTGCAGGTTATCTAATGATTGGAAAACATATGTGTTAATGGTGTAGATCTTGTTATTCCTATTGAACTGGCTCTTTAGGACTTGTCTTATCTTTAGTGATGTTTGAATGTGCAGTCTTCCTGTGTCCTCCTTATGGTGCTCATGTGACTAGCTTCAAATCCCAGTTGGTACCTACATTAGGCAAAGACCCCCTAATGTTTCACCTCCCTACCACAGATGACACAAAATACTAGAAGGCTCTCATCAGATGTTAGGAAACCAGACAATCTGATAGAAATGTACTACAATAACAAGCCACACATGGACAAGACAAGACAACCTGAAAGTGATGGAATGTTACTACAACAGTAGATTGAGAAATATAGAAAGATTAGATATATATCAGTGTTTCTCAACCTTGACAATTTTAAGGCATGTGGACTTCAACTCCCAGAATTCCACAGCCAGCATTGCTGGCTGTGGAATTCTGGGAGTTGAAGTCCACATGCCTTAAAATTGTCAAGGTTGAGAAACACTGATATAGATGATATAGATAGGCAAGATGTTTTGTCAATTAAAACTATTGTGACATTAACTTTTACATTAAACAATTAAGCAAAAGAGAAGTTATTTAGGAAGCCATAAGTAGAGGAGGATTTCCAAATTCCCAGAAGGCTTCCCACACCAGCTACAGTATATCTGGAGTAGTGCAACTTCATCCAGAACTAGAGATGGGAATTCTCCAGAATTCTAAAGACCAGAGCCATTTGGTTTAGGGTTCAGTTGAAGCCTGTTATTCCTCATTCAGATTCCCACAGTCTTCAGGCACTAACCCCCATGGAATCACTCAGATGGTCCATAGCGGATATATATCACAGATATATCCATACCATGATATCTCATTCTTAACCATTGGATGATCTCACCTAGTGGCTTATGTAAATGTTAAACTCAAGAGGAGAGAGTAACAAGCTCTGCAGAATACCACAAAGCAAGGCCCATTGGCCGGACCATTTTCCTCCCATCAATATTGACTGGAGGAAGGAGAAGAATTAGCACAACACAATGTCATCTTCCAAACCCTGAAGTCAGTCCAGAAGATTACCTTGTGTGATGGTGTTGGAAGCCATTGAAAAGTCAAGAAAATCAAAGATGGCTGCACCTCCCACATCCCACTCCTGCCAAGTATTTTCCAAAAGTAAGCCCATGCTATCTCAGACCCATGCCCGTGCATGAATCCTGACTAAAAAGGATTCATGTAATCCACTTCTTCCTTTGATGTATTTTCTACACAACTGCTTTCTCTAGAACTTTTCCCAAAAATGGAACTATAGAAACTGGAAAAAGTTGTCCAGAGCAGTCAGGTACAGTGTTGGCTTCTTGATAAGATGGAATAATCTTTAATTATTTGAAAAATGACAAAGGGAATTTTTCTTATTTCTACATTTCTACCAAGTCACAATTAATGTTACCTCTAACAAAACATTATGGAAGCACCAAAATCCATTTCTAACCAGTGCCCACACTGTGGTCTTGTGTTGTTTTTATAGCAGGAAAAAAATATTCACTCAGTAAAAAAACCATAGTAGCATGGCAGTAAGTGAATGGCACTACTTACCATGCAGGGGACAACCATAAGTGCCCTTGGCACCCTGACAGCACGAGGGGGAAGAACTGAGGGAAGGGAGCCTAAGAAACCAACATCAGAATAAGATAAGAAATCCACCAACCAAATGTAACTAATGCTCAACAACTCAGTGTTAATCCTGAAGAAATGTTCAGACTGTATTTCTGAGACAGAAATTAATTCACCTGCAGAAATGCTCAAAGAATGCTGCAGTTGCCTGACAATATTAAGGAATACTGCTTTATAGTGCTAATTCTGGATTGGCACAATGTTGAATAAGGAGTCCCTACATTATACACAGTTTTAGTCATGGTCAAGGATTAACCTAATGGAGTAATTTGCTTTTCTGCATGTTAGTCTGACTTTGAATTATACCCCTCTTGTATTCCAATATAGTTTTTGCTCTCTTTAAGAGCATTTACTTATAAATTCTATAAGTATAGCCTCTTTACTTTTCCTAATGTAATCATTCATACTATCAGCAGCAGTCTGTAGCATATTTTTAAACCAATTCTATTAAAAGGGATATGCTTTCATGAGCTGTAGCTTAGTTCATTAGATGTATGGAGTGGTTAAACTGATGTAGGACTTGAAAGCAAGGGTTGGAAGGGAAAGAAAGTATGATTATTTAATTGCAGGTTAGTGTACATGTGATAGATTACAAGTATCTTATCAATTAGCAATTGTAATGTGTTAAACTCCATTGTGTATGTTAAGACATTTTTAGATAGTCTGGAATATTAATATGTAATTGGAAGTTTCTCACTCTGTGAAGATGTAATTTCATTGCTCTAAAATAGGAATGTTGAAATCTGTAATTGATTGTCCTTGTTTTGACATGTTTGTCAAAACATATCCGTTGTCCTTGTTTTATGTCAAATTTTATCCATTAATTCTTTTGCAGAAAGTCTGTTCTGTTTGTCCAATATAGAATCAAGAGAGACATTACTGGCAGGTGATGATATACTGTATATCACACTGGAGAAACAACACATGAAGATGTAAAATATGTTTATTTGATTGATTGATTAGTGCCATCAAACTATTTTTGACTCCCAGAGAGGAAAGTCTTTGCATAATGTGTCCAAAGTTGTTTTAAGAATAATTCCCATATTCTTTTGGAATTTTAAAAAAGTGGAACAAAATCTAAAGTAGTTGCATAACTAGACACTTGGAAAAACATGCTGAGATCCAAGCCTGATTAAAATCCACTGGTATTTTCTGTTACTAAGACATGGTACAGTATATAATTTTATGAATAAAGTCAGTATAATGTAATGTTTAAAAAGGATTTTTTTCAAGATTCACTTTCTCTTTTTTCCTATGATTGTGTTGATATCTGAAGGTCCTGTTACCAAAGGGAATTTAGTAATCATTGAATTTAGAATGATAGAACCTGAATTTATATAATCTTTTTCTCAGCTATAAAGAGACATAACAACTCCTATGCAGCAACTGCCACTATTTTTGTTTGTTTCCTGAAGACAGAAAAAATCCCCTGTTTGTTGTTCCAAAGAAGTGTATTGGACGGCTAATTAAAAAGCCATCATATTATTGATTAAAGAAAAAGTTAATAACAAAAGTTGAAATAAGAAATTTTAACTGATTTTAGATCACTTCATTTTCAATTTTCAGTATTTCAGAAGAGCTACTGAAGAGCATATAAAGTAGAGCATGAGAAGGAATTTAGACCAAAGCAGTTAAAATATTATTTTCTTTCTCCATTTATCAGGCTGAATTCTTGCTGACTTTGAGAAAAACTGAATTGGCTGTAACATTTTTTTTCTGTTTTTCCCCCACTTTTTTTTAATTTATACACATAGTAATGTAACTAATGTACCGTATATGCTGGCGTATTAGGCGACCCGGCGTATAAGACGACCCCCGTCTTTATAGCCGGGCCGCATTCCTAGAACGTCATCTTATACACCGGAAACTACCAGTATTTCCGGCGTATAAGACGACTCGGCGTATAAGACGACCCCCATCTTTGGCGCCGATTTCAGCACTCGCGGAAGTCGTCTTATACGCCGGCATTTACGGTAATAAGTTTTACATATGTTTACAATAGCCTATAAATAAGAACCAGTACCTGAAACTTCAATCAAAGATAAATTGACAATAGAAAATAGTTCATTGATTCTCATCATGTGCTTCTTTTTACCATTTAGTTTATCCATTTGATTTAGGGGTAGGTTTTGTGCCTTTTTAATAAATAATAAATCATACCAAGTGAAGTATGAATTATACGCATTCCCAGTGCATATCTTCTGGCATATCTATAGTCTGCCTTCCTTCCTTCCTTCCTTCCTTCCTTCCTTCCTTCCTTCCTTCCTTCCTTCCTTCCTTCCTTCCTTCCTTCCTCCCTCCCTCCCTCCCTCCCTTCCTTCCTTCCTTCCTTCCTTCCTTCCTTCTTTCCTTCCACCCACCCACCCACCCACCCTAGACAATAGTGCATAGTGAATACTGGAGTAATCACCATAAATGATGGATAATCTTTTCATGTCTGGGGACTGTAATCAACATTTTGTTGCAGACAACTGCTGCAGGAAGTAAGTGATACAAATTGGACATATATACATGGTATTTTAATTTTTTCAGATTTGTACATTTGAAAAAAATGTATTATTTATCTTAAAATCAAATTATTATTCCTTGTTTTCCCACTTCAGAATGATGTAGAATAATATATTATTTTCAATATTTCTACCATTGAATTTTGGATAGGATGAAACCTTTTACTATTCTCAGCTAAAGTTCTCATAGATATGTCAGAACTTTTATATCCAACTTTATTTAATCAGAAATAAACTAACATACAATTCTTCCCAATTTTTCATTAATCACTGAAGTGGAAGCATGAGTTTTGACTGGCTGAAAGGAAGTACCATTGTATATAAGTGATGTGCAATTTGAGATTTTGGCCATGTAGCTCCAAATAAGCATATATAATTTTTTCAAGAACTGTATGTATATTTCATATAACTCACATTATATGAGTTACATTCCCATCCATCAGACTAATCAAAACAAAAATAATGTATGTTTAATTGTTTGAAAATCAGAACTGTATCCCTGACTTATTTAAAATGTCATATTAAAGGATTTAAAGGCCAATTACTCACAATCATATTGTCTTCCATTTATTTCAGAATCATCCATTAACCATCTGTTTCAAGATATATGGCTTTTTTTCTATTACTACGCTCTATGTAGATGAAAACCTGTGCTGAATTTGACCTATTTCAGTAAGCCATTTGTTAATTACTTCATAGCACAAATTAATAGTTTTCTTATAACACTGTACTTCCTTCCAAAAAGAATGAGATGGAGAAACCTTCATGCCATGGTATCTTTGAAACACTATAATTCAAATTCAGGAAACATTATTTACAATCACATTAAAGAGATGGATTAAATAGACTGGAAGGCTTCTATATTTCTGAGATATCTTTATGAAGAAAACATATACATACTCCACATTATGGATCACACTAAAAATCAGAAGCACTTTTGAAGATTAGGTAAATTGGGTAATTGAATATTTTATGCATACATAGTGTGACATAATTATGGACAGATAGCTTGGCAGACATTAAGGTACTGAGAAATAATTGTTAACATTTTATTTAGAAAATTATTATGGAGTTTATTGGTTCTTTTTTTTTTTACAGGAAATGCAATTAACAATTAATGTGGAAAGATTTGGTTTTCTGAATCTGGAGCTATATCATATTCTTACCTATTGTCAAGTATAGTATTAATTATTGGATACAAACAATTGCTGTCATTTTTCCAATTTGGGCAACTTTGGAATACATATATTTTTTTTTACCTTATTTCCCATGCTGAATTGATTTTATGGAAAAACCCAACTTTAAAAATAGAAAAAGAGATAGTGATTTGTAAACATTGGATGGAAGCAGGGATATTGATTTTGGATCACTGAACTGATGACAAAGATGAATATTTACCATATCATTTATAATATGTAATCAGATGTGGGATTCAGCTGGTTTACACCACTTCGGCAGAACTGGTAGCTAATTTTTTGTTGCCCAGGCCCAGAATGGATTTCCGGAAGCAGCACCCACACAGAGAACCGCTTGTTCACATATTTGAATCCCACCACTGTATGTAACCCAGTCATAATATCTACAGTTTCAACATTTGTTAACAACATTGCATGGATCAGTAGTATTCTCATCTTCAGAGACACCTAAGATATACTGGAACAATCTGTTAAAACTTTAAAACTAAAATACCTCTATTATTTATTTATTTTTAAAAATCAATAAATGAATTTGAGATGCAGATGCTAAATGGAAATGAGTGAAATAAAGAATTCCTATACTGTCTAAACAATGTAGAAATGTTTTATCTTCTATAGCAATACTGTCAATTGACTTCAAATTATGACTTATACAATAAAAATAATATTTAGAATTTACTAAACTTTTTTGTATGGAAAGGACTGGGACAAACAGCATTTTGTTGGAAATGTAATAAGAATAATGCTTCTTTAAATCCCATACTATTATAATGTCTTACATTTAATACATTTTTGGAAAAAGTACTGTATTACATAAATATAATTGCAACACAAGCTAACATTTTCAGGCAATAATATTCTTTTGAAATATATACCTAGTATATGGAATTTGACAACTTAACAGTGTATCTATATTCTCCATGCCCGTATTATGATAAAAAGATTAATATTGCAGCATTGGAGACATAAATATGTAGCCCTTTCACCCAATGGAATGAAAACCTAATTGCAATTGCCATCTAGATGTGATTTGCTTTTAGATGTAGACCATATATTGTAAAATATAATAAATATGGTATTCATTTTTACAAAATACAGTAGATTAAAACATGATTATTATATTATTGCTATCATGTTTTTATTAGAATTAGAATAGTATAAGGAAAATATATACTTGAATAATAATTGTATAAGACGACTATAGAATTACACCAATTTACTCCTGAAGTGATATACCATTTTTTTCTTGTTGCATTAGTCTCCCTTTAAAAAAAAAAAAAAGTATACACACTACATGTGTTTTCTGTTTTATTAAATAATGACAAAAATAAAGCAAACCACACAAAAATAATTCATTGCCAAAGAATATTTATCTTTGGAGGGTTGCACCTTTTGTCATTATTTTATAAATAATGAAAGAATAAATAAAATCATTTACTTGTGAAAATAATTTAATAAATACTATTCTAATTATTAGAATAAATACTATTCTAATAATAATAACAAAGTAGATAATCCCATTGACTCTTAGGGGTCTATATTGACCACTCTGTGAAATCCTAGTCTAGTAGCATATTTGAAATTCTTGGAGAACATTTAACTAAATTGAACATATCACAATGCCTCAAAGGCTACCAAAATTTAGTTTTAGCAGGACACTTGGAACTTAGGTCATCTCACTGTTCAGTTCAGAAATCTGTGACTACAGCATCCCTGACAGGTAGCCACCCACTGTTTAAACACCTCCAATAAAAAGAGTCCAACACCTCCTAAATGTTTTCATAAATCTTCATTTATTTCATTTTTTCCAAATGCCAGTTTCTCGGGAATACATGTTGGTGAGTAAAACAAACAAATAAACAAACTCAGATTTGAGGACCATATGTCTATGTGTGTAAAATATTTGTTGGCACATATGGTTTTTATTCAGACATATATAAACAGTAGGCTTTTATGTGAAAAGGGGGGATATGCACTTTTATAAAGGTTTTATGAGCACATGCCTAAAATAGATTAATCTTTCATGACTGTTGATGTATAAGCTGCTTGAGTGATTCATTTCTTTTAGTAGTAAAAGAAAAAAATCCAATGTTTCCATAGGCAGATGGCACTGTTATTTTGGAAATGAAAACAGGAGTCAAAGAGAAAGAATGTTATCCACCGTTTGCTTTGCATTTTAAACTACACAGAAAAAAATATGGTGACTATCATAGCATCTGCAACATTCAAAGGAACAGCTGCATGCTAATCTTAGCATTTTAAAACTGAATATTCCTTTGGAGGTGCTGGGTTACAACTTCATCATCCTAACCAATGCTCAGATGATGCAATAGTAGTTCAATACATCTGGATAGGGTCAGATTAAGGAAGGCCATATGACATGAAATCAAATGTCTTAACCACCTACATCATAATAGATTATATTATCCTGCTTCTGGACACTGTACACAGTATTTTAGCAAGATGATCTGCCTGGAAGAAGCAATCTGAAAAGAAGTGTTCTGCATTGGAAAACTTTTAACTCCAATTAGTTCTGCTTGTTATTTATAGAAGGAATAACTTCCTTCAATCCCTTTGTCTGTGTCAGAGACAGGAACTCCAGCTTCTGCAAACACTTTTTTCAATGGCTTTGTTGTCCAATGAACTGTCATTGGAGAAAGTGTGAACCATCAAAATAGACTAGCTTATCTCTGGTTTGTATCATGTAATAGGAAATATAATAGAAACGACTTATCTTTTGTATTCTGTAGTCTTCCTGGCATGAAATTCCTTTCCAATGGCCACTATTTTCAGGCCCTCTGACTCTTTATCTCTTCTTCTCAAGTTATGTTGGCAGAGTAGTTTATAATTTCCATATCAATGTCCACTGCTAATTTATTTTCTCAACATCAACAGAACCTAGAATGCACAAATCTGAATGATCACCAAATGGTGATCAAAAAATATAAAACCTCTAATTCTGTAGCCACTGAGTGGTTAAACAATTGATTAGTCAACAGATACTTTCAAGGAGTAAAAAAAAAAAAAAGTCAACTGGTTTATGTAATAGCAGGAAAAAATTGTGCTTGGAGCAAGGGGTGTTGTGCATGTTAATTAAATTTGCTCGTGGATGATACTGGACAGAGCTAGAATTTCAACCAAGAAAACTACACCTCATAACCCTGAGAATGCTTTATGTTAAAATTTTATATAGTAGAGAAATATAGACATCTTCTGGGTATGGAGAAAGGGAAGATTGTGGCAATTAAAAGATTTAAGACACCATAATTTCTTGTCAGCTCTGAAATGGGAAGGAAACATAACAGAACAGAGTTGGAAGGTATCTTGGAGGTTTTCTAGTTCAGCCCCCTGCTCATGCAGGAAACCCTGTAACATTTCAGTTGTCCAATCTCCTTTTAAAAACTTCCAGTTTTGGAGCACCCATAACTTCTGGAATCAAGTCATTCCATGGATTAATTGTTCTGTCAGGAAATTTCTCCTTAGTAGTAGTAGTAGTAGTAGTAGTAGTAGTAGTAGTAGTAGTAATAGTAATAATAATAATAATAATAATAATAATAATAATAATAATAATAATAATAATAATAATAATAATAATAATAATGGAAAAAGAAGCTGTATGGAAAAACATCATCTGAAATAGAATCGCTGCTCAACACTGGTAGCCAAGATTTGTAATGGAGTTTGGCTTGGACAAATGTGCACACTTACTATCAAACAAGGAAAAATAATGAAAACTGAAGGAATCAAGATGCCCCACGAAAATAACATTAAGAGTCTGGATGAGGAAGAGTACTACAAATACTTGGGTATCCTTCAAGCTGACAACATCAAGCACACTGAAGTCAAGAAAAAGATTAGAGGTGAATACATCAAGAGAGTGAAGAAGATCTTAAAATCCAAACTCAATGGAGGAAATACCATAAAGGCAATCAACACCTGGGCAATCCCAGTCATTAGACACAGCTGGAATAGTGGACTGGACTCAAGCAGAACTAAAAGCAATGGATAGGCAGACCAGAAAAATAATGACAATGAATCATGCCCTTCATCCACGCAGTGACATTGATAGACTTTATCTACCAAGGCAAATAGGTGGGCGTGGAATGCTACAAGTACATCAGATGGTTGAAGAAGAAAAATGGCTTTGGAAGAATATCTGAAGAACAATGATGAAGATGCACTGAAATTAGTATATCAGGAAGGCTTACTAACTACTGGAGAGACCAAACTGGCCTACAAGAAAGACCAAATGAAGAACAGAATAGAGGCATGGGAAGACAAAGCACTACATGGCCAATACATTAAAAAAAATAGCTGGGAAAGCAGATAATAACAAGAACTGGCAATGGCTAAGAGCAGAAAAATTGAAGAAAGAGACCGAGGGACTAATTCTGGCTGCACAAGACCAAGCCTTAAGGACAAATGCATATAAAGTCAAAATTGAGAAGACAGCAACAGACAGTAAGTGCCGCCTATGCAAAGAAGCTGAAGAAACAGTGGACCACCTGGTAAGCTGTTGCAAGACGATTGCACAGACTGACTACAAGCAGCGGCATGACAAAGTAGCAACAATGGTGCATTGGAAGATCTGCAAAAAATATCATTTGCCTGTAAGCAAAAACTGGTGGGATCATAAAATAGAGAAAGTCATAGAAAATGATAAAATTAAACTGCTCTGGGAATTCAGAATTCAACCAGACAAGCACCTGCAACATAACACCCCAGACTTAACAATTGTCGATAAGAAAGACAAAAAAGTCTGGATAGTGGACGTGGCAGTGCCTGGAGACAGCAGAATAGATGAGAAAGAACTGGAGAAGAGAACAAAATACAAAGACCTACAAATAGAAATAGAAAGACTGTGGCAAAAGCAAGCAAGGGTAGTACCAATAGTCATAGGCGCCTTGGGTGCAATCCCAAAACAACTGGAGCACCACTTGAACACCATTGGCATTGACAAATTCGCTATTAGTCAATTGCAAAAGGCGGCCTTACTAGGAACTGCTTCCATCCTGCGACGATATCTGTAATACCATCAAAAATCCACATCTGCCTATCCCGGGTCCTGGGTAAGGACTCGATAGGTAGACAAAAATGCAAATCCAGTCTGAACATCTGGCTTGACTGTGCGATGATAGAAACCTCTAATAATAATGGAAAAAAAGAAGCTGTCAATGGAAAAAAAACCTCATCTGAAATAGAATCGCTGCTCAACACTGTCCGTATATATAGCCAAGATATTGTAATGGAGTTTGGCTTGGACAAATGTGCCACACTTACTATCAAACAAGGAAAAATAGTGAAAACTGAAGGAATCAAGATGCCCCACGAAAATAACATTAAGAGTCTGGATGAGGAAGAATACTACAAATACTTGGGTATCCTTCAAGCTGACAACATCAAGCACACTGAAGTCAAGACAAAGATTAGAGGTGAATACATCAAGAGAGTGAAGAAGATCTTAAAATCCAAACTCAATGGAGGAAATACCATAAAGGCAATCAACACCTGGGCAATCTCAGTCATTAGGTACACAGCTGGAATAGTGGACTGGACTCAAGCAGAACTACAAGCAATGGATAGGCA